TTTTTTGTTTGAGGCAGAGTCTTGCTCTGTCACCCAGGCTAGAGTGCAGTGGCGCCATCTCAGCTCAGTGCAAACTCCGCCTCCCGGGTTCAAGCAATTCGCCTGCCTCAGCCTCGCAAGTAGCTGGGATTACAGGCGCCCTCCACTACACCCAGCTAATTTTTGTATTTTTTAGTAGAGACAGGGTTTCACCACCTTGGCCAGGCTGGTCTTGAACTCCTGATCTTATGATCCACCCGCCTTGGCCTCCCAAAGTGCTGGAATTACAGGCGTGAGCTGCCGTGCCTGTCCTAAATTTCTTTTTTCTTTTTTTTTCTGAGATGGAACCTGTCGCCCAAGCTGGAATGCAATGACATGATCTTGGCTCACTGCAACCTCTGCCTCCCAAGTTCAAGTGATTCTCCTTCCTCAGCCTCCCAAGTAGCTGGGATTACATGCATCTGCCACCATGCATCTGCCACCATGCCCGACTAATTTTTTTTTTTTTTTTTTTAGTTTTTCTGAAGTGTCAGAAAATCTTGTTTAGGTAAATAAAGTATAATTTTAACAGAGTTGCATATTGGTTATTTTTTAATTTTTTTTTTGAGCTGGAGTCTCGCTCTGTTGCCCAGGCTGGAGTGCAGTGGCACGATCTCGGTTCACTGCAAGCTCCACCTCTCACGCCATTCTCCTGCCTCAGCCTCCGGAATAGCTGGGACTGCAGGCACCCACCACCATGCCCAGCTAATTTTTTGTATTTTTAGTGGAGACAGGGTTTCACCGTCTTAGCTAGGATGGTCTTGATCTCCTGACCTCGTGATCCACCCACCTCGGCCTCCCAAATTGCAGGGATTACAGGCGTGAGCCACTGCACCTGGCCTAATTTTTGTATTTTTTTTAGTAGAGACAGGGTTTCCCATGTTGGCCAGGCTGGTCTCAAACTCCTCACCTCAAGTAATCCGCCTGCCTCGGCCTCCCAAAGTGCTGGGATTACAGGCGTGCGCCACGACACATGGCCCAGATGAATTTCTTAAATCTACAAGGGAGGTGGAGGAGCTGTAGTAGAATGGTAAATTAGGTGGGTTTCTGGTGATTTTCTTGAGAGGGTTGTATAGAAGGTTATTAGTATTAGATGCTAGCCAATACTTCAGGGGTAGTCATTCTTAATTCGCAACTGAAAGACGATCCAGGTCCGAACGTGCAAAATAACAAGCCCTGACGTTGACAAGGACGTGCTGTGAGAGCTGAGGAGCCTATGTTCTTGTCTTAATGACGGACTCAGAAAGTGCGCTGCTTAGAGAGCCTGCCATGGGGCACATCGATTCAGATGCTTGAACAGGTTCAGTTGAAGCCCTGTTGTTCTATACTGTACACATGGAAAAGATGGCCTAGCCAGTACTCATGGCTGTGTTCTAATCTATCCTGTGGAATATTGTGATTTATCTAATCATTGATCTTTTATTCTAGACTGAGATACAGTAAAACTGACCAATTATTGGAGAGGGGCCTATGGCCTTTTTTATGATAGTCCCCTAGAGGAGAAGAGGAAGAAGTTGAGTCAACCAGTAGTGCAGGATGATATTTTTTAATTGGTAAAAGAGGAGTCCTATACAGGTGGGCATCAGCCTTTGGGTTAGAAATAACAAGAAGGGGACCTAGAGCAGGGAGCTAAACTGAGAGACAAAGGTCATAACATTGAGCTGGCACACAGAGGTCTCACTGGGGAAATGTTCTCAGTATGCGGGAGCACGGCACAGGCGGCTGGGCTGCTGCTTCTGATGATGCCATGCTGGGGCAGGAGCCTCCTGTGCTGCACTAGTTGGCTTTTGAGTTTCTGGCCTGCTCATAACCTTGTCCTGTTCCTTGGTAAATGTGTGAAGATGGGAGGCCTTTTTCAGCAGGTTCCCTGTACCCAGAGAAGTCTCCTGAAAACTTTACCAGGTTGCAGAAAATAAAATAGGCTCCTTACTCTAGGGAGTGCTGGCATTTTTTTAGACCCCAGTTAACAGATGGTATTGGAGAATAGGAATCCATTCATCTATGTTGTGAAACTCACAGACATCCATGCCCTGTTGGTATCTCCTTTGCTCTTATGACAAGGGAATGGTGTTGGGAGAGACTGGCAATCAAGAAGCAGCTGGTTGAGTGCTTGCTTTAACATCCTTTTTGTAAGTGCACCCTAGAAACAGCCTGGCATTGAAAGGAGTCCTCTGTGATGCCTCCGTTAAAAATCTAAAGTCAGTACAAAACTGCCCGGCTGACTTGAGGAACTTGCTTGGAGAACCCCCTGCCCACTTCTGTCGTGGTGTGGTGAAGCGGCCACAGTGAGGATCGGCTATGGCTGCTAGGTGATGGTTTCTGTTTGGAATGTTCCTCTCTGAGTTCTGCATTCTTCTGGAATCAGTTGTCTTTGGTTGGTGTTATGTTAGCTGCATGATTAAGTTGTTACCTGAATGGGCAATTTTGTGTTTAGAAATAGGGGTCGTCACTCGTTATCTGCCATGAGGCACAGAGAGAGTCTGTGCAGAGCCCAGTGGAGCAGAGGAATCTTGAAGCCTCCCCGCTTTGAGGCCCCGGCCTTGATGACATCTAAATCCGCTGCCCTTCTCTTGTTAATCCCTGTTTAAAAGTAGAAGATGAAACCTAAAAGTGGTGTTAATCATAAAAATAGATTTCGGAAACACCTAACAGATATAAGAAGATTAAATCTGATCCATTTCAAAGGATTCTTTATAAATGATAGAGGTGATTGAATGCCTGTAGGAGGCCCAGCTCTATACCATTGGAAGCACCGAGACGGTGGGCGAGTCAGCTTCAGGCAGCTCCAGCTTATTCTCACTGAGAATAAGGGGAGCAGAAGCCCTAACATTGTAAAAAGCAGGCTGACAATACATACAAGGAGCCAAGAAACAAAATGTCCCTTTCCCTTATTCCATTAGTTCAGCAGTTTCATTCCTGGAAATAAATCAAGAGAAGAAAGCTCTATGCCCATGGATGTTCACTGCAGCAACCTTTGTGACAGACTCTTAAAGAAAGGGGGGTGCAACAAGGAAGAGATTTGATCCCATTCGTCTTGTTGAGTCCATACTAAGATAGCACAAGGATGTTTCCCGTTCACAGATGTTACAGAGACCCAGGGTGTTTAAACTAGTGGAACCCCAAAGCCCATGACTTTTCAGCTATCATATGAAAAAGTGCTTATGCTATAAGGTTAAAAGAGCAATGGATACATTTTTAGGAAGAGTATAATTGTGTAAAGATTAACATGTTCCTGTAAAGTATGTAAAAATGAATATATATACAGATGGTCCCCAACGTAGGGTATTTTCATCTTACAATGTGTTTGTCAGGGCTGGCCCCATCACAAGTTGAGGATCATCTGTACTTGCCATATCCCACTTAGGAACAATGTCTTTTTCTTCCCTGTGTTTGTGAAATGTGATTTTACTCTTAACATTAAGAAACAGATAGTGAATATAAATACAAATTTGAATTTTTGATAAAATAGTTATTAAGAATTGAATGTAAGGCTGGGCACAGTGGCTCATGCCTGTAACCCTAGCACTTTGGGAGGCCGAGGCAGGAAGATCACTTGAGGTCAGGAGTTCAAGACCAGCCTGGCCAACATGGTAAAACCCGTCTCTACTGAAAATACAAAAATCAGCTGGACATGGTGGCACATGCCTATAGTCCCAGCTACTCAGGAGGCTGAGGCAGGAGAATCACTTGAACCTGGGAGGCGGAGGTTGCAGTGAGCTGAGATCACGCCACTGCACTCCAG